GACTGAAAAAAAAAAAAAAACTTTTCTAGGGTTTATGATCCGCTAAATCCCTTGGAGAAAAACTGAAATCAATTTCCGGACTTTGGACATGGCTTTGAGACATATCTTATCCTGGTGTGGAAGATTGTCCTCCGCCTCGAGCCATTCATCTTCTTTACCTGGGATAGTAAACTTCTCCTCCAAATCTGGCCATTTTGTTGGTAAGTATTTACAGGGAGAGACGATCGTATCTCAACGTGTATGCTTGCTTCATAAAGTAAATTTCTGATCTAATTGCGGAAGTCGACAAAATTTGGATTGCTAACTGTTGTTGGGATCGCAGTGAAAGTTGGTGTACCGGAGTTCTTGAACGGAGTGGGGAGAGGATTGGAGAATCATGTGGAAAAGCTGGAATCTGAGATTGGGGACCTGCAGAAGCTTCTCGTCACTCGAACCATAAAGCTCAAGAGACTTGGAATTCCTTGCAAAGATGTAAGAGAATATCTCTCTTTTTATTTTTCATTTATGTTTTTCCTTTTGTTGGATTGAGAATGTTGGAGAATGTCTTGTTTTGAAAATTAGGGAATTTTGTTTTGGGGAAAAAATATGCTGGACGGATGTTTAACTTTGTTTCCAACTAAGATCACTTATGGAACTAGGGACGACAATTGTTTTTCGTCCAGTTTAGTGTTTCTTATAGGAACTTCTACCACAGTTCTTGGTTGAAAATGCTGAAAAATCATTGTTGACATGTTCAGTAGAAAACAACGGTAGCATTATTTTGTCTAGGACATGTTTTATCAGTCATCTGAACTTTTTTACCTTGTAATATTTTTAGGAACGAAAGATTAAATAGCTTTTATTGCTCTATTGCTGGAAGATTTAATCCATAAAATGGTTGTTGTAATGATTTGTGCATAGTGAACAAAGATGGACATGTCCTCATTTTCGTTTGGCATGGCAATTAAGTTTCAAATTTGACATTGTATAAAATTATGTGACTAAGTTTAGAAAAACTGAACATCCTTAGTTGAAGAACATGGTTCAGAGCTTAGATGATCTTTTAGCCATGTTTTAGTGTTCAATTGAAGCACTATGACGCTACCGTATTGTCATTTTACGTAATATAACCAGGCAACTAATGGTTCTTTTCATTTGATTTATATTCACATTATTTTGGTGGGTGAAGCTTTTGTTTCTGTGAGTTTTGTGTTGCGTCATTCTGAACTGATCTACTGGAGGTATCTCTCAAAGTTATGGACTTATGGTTTTGTCCTAATTCGTTTACATGGAGATTTGTGATCTTGATCGCCAGTGTGACTATCTCAATACTAATATCTTGGGAAGTTCTTAGTAATGATCAATATTGTGTACCTCAATGAGCTGATTGCGATTCCTCCCAGATTTTATGATATGCATTTTTATGTATGTAACAAGCGATATGCTTATTGTGATCTGTTTTCTCACGAGTCTTATTAGTCTTGGGGTGCTTGAGCCTTGGTCCACGTCTTGCAACGGATATTTATGTGCTGGGCGAGTACTTTCGCGTTTGCAACAACCAAAC